AAGCAGTCACTCAGAGTGGGAAATAGGCTGTTTACAGGATATTTTCTGTATGAAAGGAAGGAAAAGTGGCTTTACAGAGATCAGCCTATTGTGTTGGGGATATTAGAAGTTATATGGAGTTAAATTGAGATTAGTTTTTGGAGGGGAAATAAACAGCAAAATCCATGTAATCACTTTACTCTTGACCCTGAGAAGTGCTGGGCAGCTACATTAGTTGCTGAAATTGAAGTAGAGTGTTTCTTTGGTTTGATCTTAAATTCTACATTTAGCTTGTGATCACTTTAAGAACTTGACTAGATACAGACTACACTTCAAAATAAAAGTTAATTTTATGCAATATGAATCAATATTTCATTTAAAAACAAAAACACTTCTGATACTTGTGCTGTTAATTATTGTTTCAAGTTATTTTGCAGGTCTCTTTTCCAGCTGGCAATCTTTGAAATACAATCATCTTTGCTACAGAAATACCATAACTGGTTTTTCTTGAAAATAATGGTTTCAAATATACAGATAGAACGTCCATAGTCTCAAAGGTTCTGCTTGACCTGTGAAATATATTGACTATAATGCTGGTGCGAATCAGGATGTCTTATTCTTGCTTGTGTTTATAAAATTATTTTATGTGAATAACTGTGTGGTTTACGTTTATATTCTGTAGCACCAGCAAGAACGGTCATCAACAGTGAGAACTGAGATTAGATATCTAACTTTAAACTCTACTAAAGTAGTGTGGAATAGTCTGACTTTCTTAAAGCCTTAGGTGTGTATATATAAGCTGATAGGACAGACAACAGTAGAAAGTTTTGCCAATAAAACTGAGCCAGGTTGACATAAATATGCATACACTAGATACAGTTAATGACAAGTAGTATTTTGTCTGCAGTTCTCTTACTGTAGTCACACTTCAGGATAGAAATGTTTTGTAGCAATTTTTGTCCTTTGTTTTGTTCCATGTTAAAAGTGGTTAGTATTTAAAACCAAGAAAAGGCAATTATAAGCATGGAAGTGAAGAAAGTTTAAAAAAAAAACAAAAAACAAAAAAACACTAGCCTGCTTAATATATACTAATCCCATCTTTGACTTCAAAATGTATACTTAAATGTAGAATACCTAAGCAGTAGTGTTCCATGTTACAGAAATATTTTCTTTTCCTGCATGATAGGTCCAGTTCCTCAAACAGAAATCCTAATGTCTGGATAGTTCAGTCTAATTTGGCAGATAAGATTGAAGTGTGTGTGTATGTAAAAGGGAACTGAGTTGCCTGTCCTTTGACCCATCTTGATGAACAGAGCATGTACCCTAACCCTGTATTTGTCTTCATGCAAGAAATTGGATGATTCCTCCCTTGCTGGCTGTATTATTTTTGTTCCTCTAGGCCAGAAGTTTAATTTTTTTCTATTTGTATGTTTTTTTTATTCTTTCTGCATTCTGGGAAGAGTGTAACCAGAAGGCCCTCTGGAAATGTGAATGAAAGTTTGCCTAGGTGTGGAGGAAAGTAAAAGGATTTGTCTTAAAAGTTTGAAATGTTCAAGAAACAGATACCAACAATATGCCACAATCTAGAGTGAATGACTCAGTGAGGCATCAGCCAAGCTGTATGGTGCTACGCGGACTTTACTTTACTTTGCTACACTAGTTATAAGTTTGAACTGAATGTTTTTCGAAGTCAGTGGGATCTCAGAGACAATTGTATTCTTGCTTTGAACAGTTTTTTACATAAAGAAACCATTACATTTCTATTTCACATAAAAGATATGTTTCTTTCTTTATACATCTTGCAAACGTAATAAATTCTGCTCCTTTTTGTATACATGGGAGTTTGAATCGAAGTTTTAGTGTAGATTTGCTAGACTTGTATTTCAGATTCACTACTTCCTCCTTTTCTTCCTCCTCCTCCTCACTGAAAGTTCCTTATCTTCCCTCGGATAGTGACAGTAATATGATTATATGCTATGAGTAGTATGTTACGAGTCAAGAATGTCCAGGAGTCACCAGACTTGCTATTTAGGCTGACTCTATGACGAGAGTACAATAAGTCAGTATTCAGGACATACTGCACTTGCTGTGGAGCTGATCTCTGCAGTGACCACCTGTACCAGTTTTCAGGACATTACAAAGTCTACTTGAAACTAGGCCTTTCTGAATAGGATGCTTCCTGTCTGCCCATTCTTTCGGGATAGTCAGCTCTAAATAATACCGAAGATTCACATGAAGGTGCTTTCACAAAAGCTCAGGGAAGCAGGGAGTTTATGGTGGTTTAGTGTACAGCATTATGAGCTTTGCACTCTATCCTCTTTATTCTCATTGTTTTCTATATTCTTCAGTTTTGTACTTAAGAGTTGTAGTTTTAAGAATTTGAGAACAAGACCAGCATATTTCTCTCAGTTGAAAGTTGGGGGCAGTGTATAGTAGGCAACTCCTGGGAAAGTCTGATCTCCAGAAACCCCAACCCAAAACCTAAGAAACCAGATGCATGTATTACCCCCCGCCCCCCCACCAACCCACCTGAGTCAAACTCTGAGAATAGTAAAAGAGGAAATGTCTAGGAAAAACTGATGTATAATAGCCTTGCACACAGAAGTCTTATGAAGTCTCATGTTTTGTTGCAAATAAATTTTGAAGTACACTTAAAACAGGTGTAGTTTCTCCTGACTTCTAATTTGTTACTTTTTGTGAAAATTGTGAGTATTTTCTCATTTGTAGATCTTCATGAATGTAGGACGAGATGTTATGAAGGAAACTCTTAGAATGGTGGTGAAACAAGTAATTATTTTTTTGAAATATAATCTTTTTTTTTTCAGTTGTAATCTCTTAATTATTTTTCTGATGCAGTGTTCTGTGTAACAACTTTGGATTTAAATAAACATATTAATATGTGGACAAAGCCTTGCATTTTCCCATTTTGGCTGCTTCATGAAAGAACTCCGTAATCCTCTAAATCCTACTCTACTGTGTGGATCAATTGATTCCACTTCCTGTGCCTATATCTGGAGTCAGGAAATTCTTTGAGAGCTATTTTGAAGCTTGTTCTTCAGGATGGAGGGCATGAAGACATCTTAAATTTTTTTGAGAAAGACAAAATTTGTAAGGATAATGTTTTGGTAGATATTATCTCTGCATGCAAAAATTGGTAGTTAAGCCTCATAGAATCATAACCGTTTAGTTATAAGGATTTTTAAGTGGCTTCTTTTGTCTTCTGTGTTGGCTAATGGCTGCTGTTTCCTGTTGCCTAGATAGTGTAACTTATGAATGCAGTGGATCCTCTTGGAGAATAAAGGTGGATTTTTTTTTTTTTTTTCACATCCTTGACTGTGATAATTCTTACCTGTCTGGATAGGATTCTATTATATATACACATACCTAAATAAAAATGTTGTGTATATGCAAATGAGTATATCTGCTTGATTTAGTTTATGATTCAGTTTCAGTTTTAGATTAGAACAAGTGTTAGTTATTTCCCAGTGACGCTGTGAGACTGCAGTATGGGCTTGTGCATGTATAAAAGTGTATGTATCATCTATAAACTCTAATAATTCTTGTTTTACATTTTTGCCTCCATTTGCCAAATTAGACTGAAATACATGCCAGCTTAGTATTTGTGCACAGATGCATACTTTTGCTCACAGTAACAACCTATATGAGAAAAGAAATATGTCCCGTTGGACATCTTTTTATTCTTTTGCTGTATAGTTTACCATATGCAAGGATTGTTTAAAGCTTGGAAAGTTTTTTTTTTTGTTGTTTAAGACTCACATAAAAACTGTACTGGCAGAAGTATTTTGCATGAGCTCTAGGTTATAACAAAACTGGGAGATTGTTGCTACTGTAGGCATATTGGCAAAACTAAGCCTAAATGGCCTAGTTTTGGCTAGGGCTCGAATGAAGATAACAGTAAACTGCTCTGCATTCTGTCTGTATGTTTGTTTTTGTCTACGTTACAGCTGTCTATAATACTTAGATTTGCAATTGAATTAGAATTGTGAGGCTTTTTACTTTTTTTCATTGTATACACTATTCTGTCAAATACTTTTAGAATGATTTTTATCCTTACAGTGGTAATTTAGTACAGGAAATAACATCTGTTCATGCTGAGTTCTTTTTTTTTTCTTTCAATAGCAATGCAACATTATATTTTCAGGCTAGATTGTAATATCTGAGGTCATGTTAAAGTTAACTCTATTCTGAAACTATTAACACAGATATAGGATAGAAAGCCAGGTCACCTTCCTTAGACTTATAGAGGTACAGAACATAAAACTCTATGTTGATCAGATAGATCTATCTAAAATATTTTTTATTTTATAAATCCTTTTAATATTTTTTTACTGCATCCAGCAGTAATAATATTTCCTTATGTGTGTGCTTGAGTCTTTTGCGGTTTAGTCATCTTTTTTAATGTTTCAATAAATTTCTTTTTGTCAGTAGAACATAAAATTTGAACAGTTAGAGACACTGGCTGGAAGAAGTGATGCAAATTCTAACAATGTTTTCTATACTTTTTGGGTGAACAGACTACTATGTTTCCTCAAAATATGTTATGGAACTTCATGAATTTTTTTCAAACTTGTAATTGAAAATATTGAAATTGAAAATATTACGTATCTACTTGCTTTTTTTAAAATATGGTTCTAGGAATGGCTGTGGATCCTTTATCGTGACCTTTGAAGCAGAGCCATAATGAAACAGTTTGGTTCAACTACTTCTTGTTCATCACATCTCCTCCTAACCAAGCCTTTTCCAGTTATTGCCAGGAACTGGCATGGATAACAGCTTTAAAATCTCTCTTGCAACACATGAATGTGATAGCTACTATATTGTGCTGAGTTCTAAAATCTTTCTGTATTTCTTGTTATTTTATTTTCATATAGGTTGCTAGATTCTCTGTTTACACAAATGATCATTTAAGATTGTTTTGATTTCCACTTCAATACCGTAAGTGGGCATGCCTTTTTTTTTTTTTTTTAAAACAACCACCCTGAATCTTTCTCATTTGGCTTGCAGGTATCTCTATTTTATTGATATCGGAAAAAAAGTGAGTCAAGTTGGCATCCTTTGGAATCTTCCTAACCAAAGGTAAGAATAATTTTTAACCTCTGGCAAATATATATTTTAGTGTACTTATAGTATTACCCCTCCTTTAAACAAACTTGCAGCTGACATTTTGCTCTGTTTATTAAGATTCTTCTGGAAACCCTGAAGAGAGTCATTTATATAGCTAAGTGTACAAGTGAAGTTCAGTCTTTTTTGAAATCTGTTACTTGGGAGATTATCTTTCACTGAGATTTGAGAGTATGGCGCAATCACATGGAAGCAACTCTTGTTATACAGCTAGTGTTATGAAATATGATTGCATTCCCTGGTGTGTTGGATGAAGTAAAAATAAATTTGTAATTTTGGTGATTTATAAATCTTAGCTTGGTCTTTCTCTGGAAAAGAGCTGATACGACCAGAAATGGACACTAGCATGGGTGTTCTTTGTAAGAACCCACTATGCTGGGTGTTCTTTGTAAGAGCTAATTACTCTGTTTATAGAAAACCATGAGAGTGCAGTTGCCAAAAATGATGACAGCTTGATATTTTCTGTAATAGGAATGAAGAGGTGCAGTCATCCTCCTATAGCTCTTAACTCTAAACTACTTGATCTAGTCTGAATGAATTGCTTTATAATTCTCACATATGGCTCACGTTTAGAAGAGCTTCATGTTGTCTGAACAGAGAGTCTGACTGTCATCTAATACTGACATGCTCCCTGCAGCACAATGAACAAGTTAGTAATTTGGGGGATGAACACCTGCCTATCTATGTGTGTATGTGTGTGCATTTCTAAATAAATGTGTGTGTATTTCTAAATAAAGACTGCTTTATGGGAATTTATGAGGAAACTCTTTACTTTCAATAACCTGCAAACATTTGGGAAATATTTTAATACAAACTTGGACAACTTGATCAAATTCATCCCTTCTGATGAACACATGGAAGGAAGATAGGAATAATATAATCTAGGGAGAAATAGGCCAAATTTCTTTAGTTATTCTGAGTTTCAGTTAATATATCTAATAACCTGGCCACACTTAAGTGTTATAAATGTATGCTATGACTACTCTTATTTGAAGAATGGAATATTATCATATTGATAGTCATAAAGAGTGGGAAGTATGTTTTGTATAATTGTGAGAGACTTGAATAACAGCCTTGGAACTGTATTTAGCTGCTTGTAGTCCAGATAGATAAAACTTTCATGGCCTTTTACAAATTGTGTGCAGAAAATTAACTTAAAACAAAAGTGGTAATATGTGCAAAATTAGTAAAACATTAATAACAATTCTGAGAAGTTTATCTATTTTTTTTGTAATTGTTATAATTGAAATGTTGGGTCATGGAAAAGTATGTTGAGTTTGTGTGTATATATATAAATTATAAAGAATTTATATCAAATTATAAATAAAATAAATTACACTTGATATTGTAGTCATTCTAGTCTCCTCAGTTCCATTTTTTTTCAAGCACTATAATTCTCCAGTAAACATAGTATTCCACTACTGTATGTTCTGTTACTCAAGAACAATGGAAAAGACTATTACTGAAGCAAGTTAGAAACTTCAATTTTTCTGGCAAAACTTACTTTGTTTAATCCAATTTTTTTTCCTAATATATTCCTATTTCATAGCATGAAAAAAAAAAAAAGAAAAGAAAAAAGGAAACATTTTAATTTGGAGCGATTTGCCTGATGGACAGACTACCTTGTAAAAGATTGTGTTTGAGTATCTAATGTCTGTGGTGGTGGCCAGCCTTTCTGGGTAAGGCTGCATCTGGTATTAAGCAACAGTTTTCTTTCTGACTGAGCCATTTACTGTTATTTAGTTCCCATGACGTGTGTCTGCCTCATAGTTGAGATATCTGACTAGTGAGGCCAGCCAAACATGAGAGAGAGAGCGGTGAAAAGACAGATTTTCTATCAACAGCTGCTTATGAGCTACTTGTGTCCATGTTGAAGATACAGGACAGGACTGTCCTTCCATATTATCCCAGGTGTTCCAAATGAGGCTTGAAGATAGTTTCTACTTTGCAGTTGCAGTTTGTGCTCTTTTTCCCAATACAGTAGTTTCATGTCTGTATCATAACTTTCATTTCTGACCATACGTTGTTTCCAGGGAGGAGGAAAAAAATCTTCTGAAAGAATTGATTTTTTTGGGGGAGGGGGAGAGGATAAAACTTATTATGCATTCAGAGATTTCTATGAGGATATTTGCTTTTGAATTCTTTAAAGGTTTACCAGTCTATTCAGAGAACCATAGATTTAAGAGAATCTGAAAAATTGACTTCCCTTGCCAGTGGCTTAGCATGGTTGGCTTAGGCCTCTCTGCAAGGAACAAAATTGAACTTTCATTCAGGCCACCTGAGCCCCTCTGGCCTTTGTACTCTACAGAGTTACACTAGGTGGATGCTCAATAACTACATGTTATAGCTTATCTGGTTTTAAATGGCTTCCTTTGCTCACATCAACTTAATAGTTTCTTTTCCCTTCTCATCTAAGACTCCATTCTCCGTAAATGGTCCATTCTATAATATGAAATGAGATCACCAAACTCTTGCGTTACTGGTCATGATGAAGCTTTGCTATATTAAAGGCAGCATAGAATATACCTCTGAAAATCTTTACTACTACTTTTCATGTATGTAGAGTGTTTTTTATTTACATATATAAACACTGATGCTTTGTCTGAATAGAGCTATGCTTTTGCTTGGGAAATAGGTTGACAGGACAATATTGTAACGTATTTTGCATTACACATTGCAAAAATATCTGCATTTGAATAGGGCTAATTACTTGCTTAGTTCTCATTTCCTACATAAAGCTGCACTAGTATTGTGTGATGACTGTTGCTAGCATTGTACTGGTTTTACCTTTTGGCTGTATAATTAGCAAAGATATAGCAGCTACTTAGAGAAGATCAGAAGAAGCTGAAAAATATAATTCAAGTGTTCCTCCATTTTGTTCTCTCTTTGTGGTTTAGAGTAATTGTTGTGATATAATATTGCTGCAAAGAGAATACAGAACAGATGTCTGACTCTACATGTGCAGGTATATTAAAGTGCATTGTTTTTCTTTCATAACTCGTAAGATATGTAACACAAGGAGTATTGCTGTTTACAGCTGGGAGAAGAAACTTCTAGTGTGCTCATCTGTGAGCTAATACACATTGATTGTTTATTTGTTTTTGTTCCATATATTCTACTAAAATGTTTATGTCAAAATATTTCTCCAGGTATTACTTAAAGTTGCATTGTAATTACATTAACTGTTCTGCAAATTCTGATTTTGAAATATGTAAACTTGGAGTATATTATAGAACGTAAGAACTTATTCAATCTTTTTCTATCACGTGTACAGGCATAAAGAGGTAGGGTGCAAGTTGTTGCCCGCAGATATTGTTATTATTGTAGAAAATCTATAGTAGTGTTACAGCAGAAGAAAGTTAAGCAGTGCTAACCATTTATTAAAGAGTAAAAAGACTAAAAAGTCAAAATTATTTTAAGTGTGTTTCTATTAAGAGGTATTTCAGAAATGGTTATGTGAAATTAAATATTTGAGAATTGTTCACATTTCTATTACAATTCAAGCTAGTTAAAAAGGAATCTACAGTACTTGTATTGGGTTGTATAGCTCTGGTAACTCTCCCCAAGCCTGCGTTATGCTTTGTAGACATAAGGAGTAGCTAATAAAATCAGAGACTGTACGTCCATTTAAAGTGTCAGATTTAAGTGATAAACTTATTCATATTTGACTATGTCAACATCTATTTCCTAGGTGACCTTTTGATTGGAAGAATACGTCCAAACGTTTTAACTTAATGTAGAATCAGCAACGTGACTAAATACAATGTCTGCTCTCTTTTTTGCTGCCAGTGACAAACTTCCTTTGAGAAAAGGAAAAAAAAAAGTCTGCCCCTTTTCACCTTTAGCTACTGACAGAGAACCACTATTCAATTGGTATTTCTGATAGTCATTGCCATAGGAGCACACATATTTGGGAGAACTTATTCCATCTTGAAATTGTTGTTGATAGGGTGATAGGTTTGGTATTCTGGTCATATCTGTGACCTTGGAAGGAACCTGCTTCTAAAGGCTTATGTATTTATGTGAATTCATGAAAACTTAAACTGCTTACTGTTTGTATATGATGTTGCTAGGTTATAATATACAGGTAGATAGAATCATGTAGTTTATGCATAAACATACCATGCTTTTCAGAAACTAATGCAAATAAAGAATGTTTATAGCAGTAAATTTGATCCAATAAGGTATGCAAAGTTTTATGTGATACAACTGTTCATGGAAAACAAACTGTGCATTTATCTCAAGTATCTTTTTCAGTCTCCAAGTCATGACCATTTATTTCCTCTCCGAGAAGAACTAAGATATAATTAATCGGATGAAAAATAAAGCAGCTTGCTATTTTGTTTTTAAAGCATGATAGATTTGTCCTTCATTTTTGGGGTTATACATAGTCATAATAATTCTTTCACCGATGACCTGAGTGGAAAGGTCATGGACAAGTGATTCAGTATTTTGTTGAAAAGTTAGTAGATCACTACAAAATACTGTTAATGCTATGCTTTGCTTTTCTCTTAAAAAAGTAGAATCATATCTTAAAAACAATCCTTGGAATATAGAGAAATGTTGGAACTAACAATCTATCACAGGATGGATTAGGTTTTTGAAGGGGGTCGTTATAGCGGCCTTGTGTGATTCAAGCAGAGGGGGGGAGGGAGAGGGAGAGCAGCTAAGTCATTTTATACTGTAGAGCCATCTGGCCCAAGGATATTCCCACTGATCTAGGAGCTTTGAGTTGGGTATTGATGAGATTGGCAACAGTTTATTTCTATGAGCGCAAGCAAAACTAATAACAGCAAAATACTATGTAACGGGGAAGGAGCTAGCAGGCAAAGATTGGTGGTACAAGGACTGAGAACTCTCAAAACAGCCTAGGGAGATTTTTAGGCTGATTGCTGTTTGGAAAAAACTTGGTCAAAGAAGCTAACTCTAGTTTTCAATCGTACAGTTTTTATTTC